AAGCCTGTGAAGAGAGCTCATTAAAGGCTCAGACACCACAGGAGTTCAAACCATGCATGATTATTATGCCTCGGTTAGCATGGAAAAACACCCCTGAAATAGAGTCTGGACCCTTGCATACAGAGCAGCCACTGTGATCAAAATCATTCAGCCAGGCGTATTATTATGTGGCACCTAGAGCTGATTAGAAGTAGACACTACGCATTAGTTTGACATATTCAGTACATCAATATTCTTTGATGGGAGACGGATGGGATGCTGATAGAGCTTAAGTTATGTTCTATCGCCTACAGGAGCTACTCTAACAGACCGTGCCTCTTGTGCTCTTCCAGACATATGTCACATATATGATATATGTAACCTCTAGCCCATCTCATATACATGAAAAGGCGATGCACCATGCAGTGATAGAGCACTCAATGTACCAATAAATGCGAGATGCTGCCAAGCCTTGGGTAGCTAAATGAATGCACTCGCTGAGCCTGTCTAATTGGCTCCCGGGGTGAGGCCATCACTCACGACAGACCATTTATCCTGGGTTTATCTTCGGAGAGGAGCTGGGGGGCTGTGCGGAAAGGGAGGAGGGGAGTGTCTTGCCATGTGCTGGCAAAGCTAGGGAAATGGGATGGGGGGCGCTGCCATCCAACCTTCCCCTGAGCCTAATCCTTCACCCCGTCCTCAGTCAAAACCAGGATTCGAGGGTGACGTGGCTTAAATCCACTACAAATGAAAACAGACTCCAGCCACCATCTTAATTGTGTCTAATGCCTGGCATTGCTCTGCCTCTCTATCCCTGTGTTTCATCCCCTGCTCTATCCCTTAATCCTGCACACACGCTCTCTCATTTAAAGAGGCACATTAGAAATTGGAGAGGCATGGGTAGCTGTGCTGAGCCAAGCTGCCAAATGGGATTCTCCTTTGATTATAGCTTAACAAGATGAGTTGAGTCCATCCAGGGCTTGCTTTAACACTCAGCTGAGTGGTCGCCATCCTTCATGTGCGACCGTGTGCCAGCCGAGGCCGTGCAGTCAGACGAGCACAGTGGAGCCCGTCAGTGCGAATGTCTTGTCTCCTTGCGTGCTGTCATCATTTGCCAAGCTGCTGCGTGCCACTACACCACTCCAGTAGACATTGTGGCTCTTTTCTCAAACTGGGACCTATTACATCTTCTCCAGGCCAGGAGATGAGTAGACCTTGACAGATGGCAAGTGTGTAACCCCCTCTGTCCATCCTCAGTAGCTGACCTTCAGCTTCATCAATCTGCTGTGGCTTTACTATTACCCTACAGACTAAATGAGACCTCGCAGGCTGACAAGAGCAGTCACGCTCAGGGAACGAGGGACGAGCACAAAAATGAGTGGCAGTACAATCCAGCTTCACCTTAAAAAAAACCAAAAAAAAACAACCCACCCAGTGCATTGATTTAATTCATGTAAATACTTAGCCAGATAAAAGATTCCTCACTCTAGCATTCAAATGTGCCTGCCACCTCTCATATCAACACTAAGCCCCCCCAAAAAAACAAAAAACAAAAAATCCCTCTCTAATTCGATTGCCTTTCATTCAATTGGATCACTCACCCCTAATACATCATGGATTAGTCAGCTTTCTGTAAATGACAAATGTGATGTGAGTAAAATGTCACGAGGTATCAGTGGGAAAGTGAGTTTTCTCTGCACTGACACAGGATCACAGAGCTCATCATTAATTATGGTCTCGCCTGGAGTTTGGCTGCGAGCTGTAGTTATTCAAGCAGCAGTGTGCATGTGTGTACAGTATGTGTGTGCGTGTGTGAGCAAACACGCCAGGGAGAAGCACTGAGATTGTTGATAAGGGCTGTCTGCCATCTCTACAGTTTCCATGGTTCTTCCTAACTTTTGCTGGATGCTAATGAAATGGATTCGGCTGGGCTGTCCTGCGTTCTGAGCTAACTATCCCTATGGCTGTAACACATTTAGCTGAGTAAAATTCAACTCAGTGGCAACATTGGGAAGCAGAAATGGGTGGGTGATTGAATTGCTACATCTCTATGGCTGTATCCCAATTCAGGGTCTGCAGCCTAAAAGTACGCAGCCTTAACGGCCCACAAGGGCCGCGTACTCAAAGACCGCTAAGGCCGGAAGTGCGAGGCTTGTAAAATGGGACGGTCTAGCCTCCGTCGCGCTGCCCAGGTTGCCTAGCAACGATGATACTAACAGCTGGAAACGTTTCATACAGCTTTGTTTGACAGAAATGAAGGAGAAAATCTTTTGTTCATTTGTTTGTTTGTTTCTACATGAGCTTTGATCATTCTCTGTAAGATTAAGGTCAGCTATTGGACGGCGTATATTTTAAAGTAAAGGCTTTAAAACCAAGTTAGTACAAACGTCACTAATGTCACATAACTTTGCCGACATGTGGCCAACAGTAATGTTTTAATGGTCTTTGTTATTAAACATTTGCACATAAATAAGTGACATAATATTCAGTACTTACTCAAAGTTTACTCTTCGGGCGCCCCTCATCCGCTGTTTTTTTCCGGCGAAATTATCCACACCCAGCGCCGCGCTATGCATTCTGGGATATGTTGGGCCACGAAGTCTACACCACCACATCCTTAAAATTCAGGGAAATGAAGGACACATTTGAGGCCGCATTTCGAGCAGCCCTTGGATTGGGACAACCTTCGTCGCGTCGCTGTGACATAATCGGCCTTAAAATGCGGCCCATAAGGCTGCAGACCCTGAATTGGGATGCAGCCTATATGCATGCATGATTACCTTCCCTAACTAACTCCCACTGTTGGCTTGGGAACAGTGTACAATCCCCTGGCACCCATGACAAGGCCCTTCAACACCTCCCTGTGTCTCCACAGGCACCCAACCAGAAATCAGGAGACCTTAAAGCAAATACACGATTCTTCGCTGGGCTGCTAATTGTTAATGCTGCCAATTATGTTAACTGGGGCACCCGGCCAATCAGGAAGCACCCAGGTCCTGCACCCTGAACCCTTCTTATGCCAAGAAACAGTTATCTTTAGCTCTATCTTTAGAGGTTTCAGAGCAACCTCTTACAAGAAGGACTGCAGTTTAATTCAGTGTCTCACAATAATGCCTGTTTTAAAAATGAGAATAAAAGAATAATATGATTCAATTGTGTCACGACAGAGCACTGTGACTGATAACATTTCCAAAGCATGCTGATAAAAGTATAAAAACACATTGTTATGCACCATTTCCTCACAAAAACACAGCTCCTTAAGTTTACTCCACTCTTCCAGAGAGAATAGTTTTTTTTTTCATCCTCCCAATATTATGATGAAAATGACTTCTGGCAGGTTACGGTGTCTGAATGTAATGTTCTGGTGCAGCTTGTGAACTCAGCACCCCTACAGGTACATACCTGTCAATGTCAGGCTCTGTGCTACACAAAAGCCTTTATTGCTTGCACTCCAACCAGCATCCCAATAACTGCATTGTGAAAAACAGATAAACAACTACCGTTTCTCTGAAAAAGGTAATGTCAGTTGACATCAAAACCCAAGAGCAACTCTTTTTTTTCCATCCGACTTGCCTACGCAAGCATTTCAGATTGGACTCTAGTTTGAATACACATGCATCACATGTGGGCTTCCTTACAAAGCCAAACACAACCTTTCGCTCAGCTGAATCAAGAGCAGTTCCACTTCTATTTGTGCGTTTAGCTCACAAAATTGTCTCCCATGATTTAGAAGACATAGCTCATATTGCCAACCTGCTGCCAGCATATCGAGTCAAATTACAGGACTTGGAAAAAAATAGCAGCCAAGAACAAGAGCAGCTAAGTACTGTTGCAGAAATAATAAAGAAATGCTTCAACACGAAGGGAGATCATTTAAAAAAAGAAAACTTGGATCAATATAGATTGCTGGATTCAAGGGGTAAGGCTTCAGCCACACAGGCCTAGAGACCTCTTGGCAATCTCTGCTCTTGGTCTTAAAAAATTAATTTGTTTTAAATTTCAGCCATTAGTAAGAAAATTGTCCAAGAAAAACATGTATTGAGCTGAAAATAAAATATCAACTACATTGTAGTATTCTCCCATCTAATAGCTCTATGATATTTTTTGGCCCCAGTCACAAAGACCTAGCAACCAGGTGGTGAGTGCATAGCAACCGTAACTAGGGAAAAATTATATTTATATTGGTTGGCAAGTGACTGCTGCCTTTCACAAATTAGTTTGCTCATAAGGAGATTGCCGCAGTTGCCTGCAGTTTGCATTAAAGATGGCAACGTTCCGACAAACGCTAACTGGCCAATGAGCACTAAGCTAACTGACCAATGAGCAGTAGTAAAACTTGAAAAAAGTGCAATGCAAGCTGGAAGTGAAAACAATTTTCCCTCAAAGTCAAAGTTGTGCCTTACCACTGAAACTGTAACTCTTCTGCGGGTAATATTTTAGTTTGACTTCAACAGATGGCTTCCTTGGGGAATTTTCTTACTAACGACTGAACCTTCTAACAAATAAGCCCAGTGCAAATCAATAGACCAAATATTAAACTTCTCTTTGATTAGGTTTAGATTGAGTTATTTCTTTATTAATGCAACTTTGTAAATGCTTAAGGCACTGTAAGCCTAGCAAATCAGCTCCCAGTCTAGTTTAATAAATCTAGTTGCCTCGACAACTCTGGTTTTATTCATGCTACACATGTGACTAACTATGAATGCAAGCACATTCTTACCCGTAACCTTATTTATTTAACCTTATTTCTATCTTCTGTTTTGTAATCTGTGTAATCTGTGCTGTCTAAAAATTACTTTAGTGTTAACCATGGCAACCTAAACTTACTCAGCTCTTCAAATAACTTAAAAAAGGTCTCCAAACAAATTAAATTATAAATAAAGGACTATAATAATATAACACTCAGGACTATCATTGTACCCTACATAATCATTCCCTCAGGGTCAATAATCAAGTTATTTTCGACCAACTTAGTACTGTTATCTTATCTGTTGTTTTTCTACTATTTGTTCTTTACTTACCCTTGCTCCTCCATCATCTCTTGGAGCTCCATACATTTGAGCTCCACCCTCCTCTTCCTCTCATGGTCCAGAATTTCTCTGTGGGGCTTCTTCACCAGGACAGGCTCTGCTTTGGGCTCCTCCTCCTCCTCCTTAACTGACTGCCCCTCTTCAGTTTTAGCTTGCAGCACTGTAGTTGCAGTTGGCCCTCCAGATCCTACAGCTGTTCCCGCTCCTGCTCCAGGGACAACCGGCTGGGCCAAACCGTTTGCACCATCTTTCGGAGACAGCACCCTTGTTGCATCATACATGATTACTGAATCTGTCGAGACAGAGATGAAGAGACCAAAGGTTAACGGAGAGAGGGGATGAGAGAAGCTGTCACTTGTGGGTCTCACTCACATTAATCATTTAATGTCAGATCTTTCCCTTGTTTTGGGAGGTTCTCACTCAGTGGGAGTAATCTTTATACATTTAGTAAAAAAAAATCCCCATCAAAGACCATTTTGTACCCATCTCTAAATGTTGTCAGTACATCACACTATCTGAACCAGCAGTAAGCCACAAACATTCTGAAACTGAAAGGTGAGCGCTTCATTTGATGTTAATATCTTTGGACAGGCTGCAGCATTTCTGCCTGAACTGAGCAGTACGCTTACACACACTCGCACCAATATACTGCACCCACGCACGTACACACACAATTTGGATCTTGGGTACATGTGGACATGCACAGCCAGAGACAGAACTGGAAGTAACTTCAGCTCTATGAGTCAACAACTAAGTAGTGCCTAAAGGCAGGTTAGGAGACAGAGTGCTTCCTCTTCTAAACTCTCGTATCTAGTGGAGCAAACTAAAGCTGTAAACTGTAAAGGTCATATAAAAACCATATGACGTGACAAGGAAAAAACAATGGGAGCAATAAGCATACTTAAAGACAGAAATGAGTGACAAAGGTTAGTGTGAGAAGAAACTCAATGCCCTGTTTGATTTTGACTTCCTTAATCTTCTCTCTTTCTGCCTCATTTACTCATGAAATGGTGAGAATGTCATTTTGTTAATAAAAAAGCATCTGGTGGAAGTGTTGTGTGGACTGGACTCTGATTAAGACAGACTGTTCTTTTAAGGCCAGTGCTGAGCGCACGGGAAGTGTGGAAGGGCTTATAGCGTGCCCGCGAACTTAAGCTCCTCTCCCTCTACAACTAATGACTTCATTTTTCAGTGCGGAGGCACAGAAGGCCGGCTGAGGCACTTCATCACTGCCACACATTGAGGACTCAAGACAGGTTGATACTGAAGCTGGATGGACAGACTCTCAGAGCTACAGTCACAAGCCATTCCCTTTTCTTTTATCTAATCACAGGGAGTGTGCGAACAAGCTAATGCTGTGCCGTCTCACGCTTTTGTGCATTTGAGCTGCTCCTGGTAGTCTTTGACTGGTTAATAGGGATGTGCTTGTGTTCTGGAGTGCCGTGTGCTGGTAAACAAGCCGTGGATGTGTGCGGCTCTCGGGTGACAGAACAGGTGGCAGGACAGCAGGAGGCATCATCTCTGAATCTATTATACAGTAAATCAGCGCTTGATATTCCATGACAGTAATCTCTCATCTACACACGCTCACCTGCAGAAGATGGTAAGGAGAAAAGCTCTCATCTTTAAAAAGGGTGTTTAAAATGACATTCAGGCAGACAGCAGCAACACACAACTGGTGAAAAGACAGGAATATGTGATATATGAATCACTCTGTGAATAACAAACAGTTCATTTAGATGTGAAATGAAATGTAGCTTAATGTGCGTGTATTTGTGTGCTTACAGAGAAATTTACATTCATGCATCCCACAGATTCAACAAAAGCACAAGCAAGAACTCACATGCACTTATGGAACATTAAATTTAAAGGACTTAATTATTAAATGACAAGAGAAAAATGAAGCAACCCGCATCTTAAGTAAAAAAATGTGCCATTTATGTTAATTTGCATAGCTCTTTGGCTACAAAGAGAGCAGGGTTGTGGGTTTGGAGATGCACTTAGGGGAGAACTATGGATAACGCCATACGTGCTGTAGACTGTGTAAAAAAGATAGACGCTGCCACTGTGAGGTCTTGATTTGAAGCCTTGAGCTGAAGAATCACTATTTTTGTGTTTTGAAAGCAGATGTTATAAAAAAGGTGGATCAGACTGAGAAATACAGGGGTTAGGGTTAGACCACACTAAAGTATACCCTGCTTTATTGTGACCACAAATTACAAATCATATCCCATCATATGATATTTAACAGGACTTGAATCTAGTAGTTGGGATCATAACCTAAGCGGTACGATTATTTTCTTGTAGGACTGGAGTTCTTTTTCCTCCCAGAGAATCCACACCCTGTGGATCATTAAAATTCCCCATCAGCTTCTCTTCTCTCTCATATACAGTCTGTGGCTTATTCTGGAAGTCCTGTCTTGGCCTACAAGAGATCCACGAGCCCTCCCCATAAATGTCACAACATGCACACATCCCAACATTAAAGGCAGGCTCATTCACAGCAAGGTTAAATGAAATGATAACATCTGAAAATCAGAGCAAAAGGACCCTCCCATTCCAAATTAAATTCTTCACCAGATGTAGAGCCTGGCCCACATCTGTCGTTACGTTAAACTGGAGCCTCCTCATTATATTAATGCATCATTCCTTTTTTCGCGGGGAGATGGGATGGGCAGAGAATCTGTTTTCTTTCAAGTTAAAACAACTAAATTATTTAATTGTGTGATAAAAAGAAAAAGTCAGAGCAGAAAGGGAGACTTGTCATTGAGCCGATAAGGCGCACAGCTAATTGTGTGCGAGTCCTCTGCAGGGACTGAAGGTTATCTCTAGCTGCTGTATTAATGCTGGCACTGACCTCTTCTGCTATTATTGCAAAGGCGTATAAGACTGTCACATCCCGACAAACACTGTCTGTAATTAGTCATGTGCTAAGTGAAGTTGTTTAGCCGCAAGCACAAAGCGCCGCCATCAATTATTTCAAATCCCAAACAGATTAACACACACTTGGACGTTCAATACTCTGCTCCAGAGCCTGTGACTCGTGCCATTTCTTTAGAAAGAGAAGAAAGAAGGCTGCACTGCTGTGTCCTTAACCTCTGTCAGTGGTTTTCCTGTGCTGTCTGCTTGATTGGACCTTGCCGCTGGGGAGGCCTCTGCTGTGTCTATACTGCAGCCTGTCTTCTGCTAACATTATGCAACATGTCATTCTCCAGTCGTATCACTTGTAAACATCGGTGCCAAGGTTGCACATCTAATCTTGGACACTTTTAAACCCGACCCTTCCTTGCCGCCAGAGATTCTACGCGGCGCGGAGAACAACAAAGGACGGGCCGCTCATCCGAGGCGCAGAACAAAGAAGCGCCGAGGGAAACGCGCTGGCATTAGGAATAGACTGAGACAGCAGGCACATCGCGCACCACTGCCCAGCATCCTACTGGCCAATGTACAATCCATGGAGGACAAGCTCGATGACCTAAGAGCAAGGGTCACCTTCCAACGTGACATGAGGGACTGCAACATTCTGTGCTTCACGGAGACATGGCTGACCCCCACCGTGCCGGACCAGGCCGTAACTCCGTCGGATTCATTCTTTGTGCTCCGCACGGACAGAACGGCAGAGTCAAACAAAACCAAAGGTGGAGGAATGTGTTTCATGATAAACAGAAAGTGGTGTGATGCCAGGAGCATTTCTACTCTTTCCAGCGGCTGCTCGCCACATCTGGAGTTCCTGAGCATTAAGTGCCGCCCTTTCTATCTGCCCCGTGAGTTCACCTCAGTCATCGCCACGGTGGTCTACATCCCACCCCAAGCGGACACAGGTATGGCTTTGTCCGAATTACATGATGTGCTGAGCTCACTTCAAAACAAGGACCCGGGCGGAGCCCTCATTGTAGCAGGAGACTTTAATAAAGCGAACCTCAGACAAGTCATGCCAAACTTTTACCAGCATGTCTCGTGTCCAACGAGAGGGGATCGTATTTTGGATCACTGCTACACGCCATACAAGCAGGGCTACAAAGCTGTCTCACACCCGGCTTTTGGGAAGTCTGACCACAACGCCATCTTCCTCATTCCCCAGTATAAACAAAGCATACGGCGGGAAGACGTGACCACGAGGGAGGTAAAACGGTGGACTGCCCAATCAGAAGCTACGCTACAGGACGCACTCAACGACGGCGACTGGGACATGTTCAGAGCATGCGCAGTCGACATCATCAAGTTTACGGAAGTAGCAGTACATCGCGGAGCATGACGTCCGAGCGGCATTAAGGAGTTTCAACTCCTCACTGCAGGCATGTCATGTGCCTGCCTGCTTCAAGTCCTCTACCATAATCCCTGTCCCCAAGAAACCTA